GAGAACAGGCCCCGATGTCCCGTTCCAAGGACTGGTCCCTTCTGAGAACAGGCCCCGATGCCCCGTTCCAAGGACTGGTCCCTTCTGAGAACAGGCCCCGAGTGTGTGACATGACGTGTCACCATCCTGGAGTCCCAGGCGCACCCTGGCTGCACTTCCTCGGGGCAGGTTTGCTCGTTCAGCATCCCTGGGGTCTTCAGTTCTCGTCTCCCAGCATCACAGTTGAAAGGCCTCAGTTCTTCAGTCTTTCTGTATCCATCGTCCAGCTTTCAGAGGCCTAGGAAGTGATACCAGCTGTTCAAAAAAATTAATTTCATTTAATAAAAAAAATTCTTATACCTAGACGCTCCCCTAATTCTTGCCTCTTCTTGCTTCTAGCGATGCTTCCAGGAGCGGATCTGTCTCTCTCCTTCCCTGCCTTTTCTCCCCATCACTGTCCCACGTTTCTTCATCTCCATGTTGGTCAGCCAGGTATGGACTAGGGTCATCTCTTGTGTGAGACCGGCCACAGCCTCTTTCCTGTTCCACGGTTTCCTCCCTCCAATTCATTCTCCATACCAGAACATGGGCTATCAGAAATGTTCAGTGGCCCGCTGACAGTGCTCTTCGCATCAGTTCCATTCATAGCAAAACTCTTCCTACGAGGTACCGAGTTCTCACTCAGTAGTGCCAGCTGTTGTGCTCTGACCTCATCCTGCAGCCTGTCGGCCTCATGCGGTTTCCAAGTCTGGTCATGGTGTTACTTCTCTTTGATTTTTCCTTCTTCTGAGATTGGTTTTCATCCCAGTTGCTCATCTCTTGTGGATGCTAACTGGATGGACAATTGACCTGTGAGCCGGAATCCATTCGTACACTGTAACAGTAACGAACATTCAGCGCAGCTTAATCTTTCTTAATCATTAAGTTTATTTCTTGATTTTTTTTTTTAAATTAACTATACTAGGATGACAGTTCCATGAAGACAGATAATAAATGTTTTGGTTACTTTAATGTCATAAACACACTTGTTCATCAATTGTTCATTGGATGAACAGCTCTGTCTGGGACAGTCTCTAGTCTAATTTGCCTTCATTGTTTTTCAAAGTTTGGTCATATGGCCAGGATGGACCAATCCTTGGAATAAGTTACCATGCTCAGAAGGGTGCAGGGACACTGCTGGAGAGGAAGACCCCAGATGAGGTGGATTGACATAGTAATTAGGGCAGTGGGAGTAATGTTTTGTGTAATTGAGGCCTTCTAGAATTTTAATGCCTTTGCTTTGGCTTCAGTTTTGGGAGGGGCAGGGACTTCCTTTGCTTTAGGCGCCACCTTCGTAGAAAGCTTTTTTTTTTTTTTCGTTTTTATTGTATTATTTTTACATGTACCGTTGAATCTGATCTGACTGGTACAGGAAGAGATTGCCCCCTCCTTCTCCAGCAGAGCATCTGGTGGATTTGAACCAGTACCTCTGGGATTGCAGTGCAGCGTCTTGCCACTAGGCCACGTAGAAAGCATTTCTAACACAGAAATGGAACGTCCTTTATTGGTTGAATGGTTAAAGCAACAGGTTTTTATTAACAACGAAATACTGCTACTGGTGTGGATTGAATTGTCTCGGGAAATTTGTTACCCATCCCAACCAACCCCTTTATCCAGTGCTGTTACTATTTTCAAAGGTTAGTGGTTCAGATGCAAACCCAGCAGCGTCTTGTGGGGAGAAGTAAGGTCAGCCCCCTCCAAGACTTAAGGTTCAGAAAGGGGCTCTGTGCCCTGAGGCTTGGGTCGGCCCTTGGCTTTGGGAGACCTGCGGGCGGACGTGCTGGGGAACAGGGCTTTCTGTTGGTCAGGGAGCTCTGGCCTCGCGGGGTGGGAATCCACCTGCAGGTGAGGGATGGGAGAAAGATGGGCAGTGTCCTGCAGGCATGAAACCCCCTGGAGGCTCGGTTCTGATTCACAGCAGGGAGTTTGCAGTTTCTGGGGCCATGTCAGCAGTGGCTGGCACTTTACAGACGTTTCTAGGCCGAGTGAACAGTGCCCGTCGCTGGGAGCGACAGCTGAAGAGCGCTTTCAAAAGTGGTTGACACATGGAAATCTTGAGCCTCGTGCTCTCGTTCCTTGGTCAGTCTGCGCGGGCAGCTTATCAGTTCCGTTATCAGCACACCCCCCTCCCCGGTGTACCCGACTGGACAGAGCCAAGGCCCCTCCTGGGAGCCCTGGATCTGGTCACTTCGCGTGCTTCGCAGGTGGAAGGGGAGGTGACGCCTCTCGCTGGGCCAGTCGCCTGCTGACCCCTGGCCTGCTGACCCCTGGCCTGCTGGGTCTGATCCAGTGTTTTATCTATTTTTTTTAATATCTCCAGACAACTGTCTTTTCTGTGACTGGCTTCCAGGGAACAGTCTCCAAAAACCTGTGTCTGGAGGGAAGCCTTCCTGGGGTGCCTGTGGGTTCTCCCCAGAGGATCTGGAGGGGGCTCAGTGCGGACCCCGCGGCCGTGCAGGCTGATGAGTGAGAAAAGGGCCGAGAGGCGCCTCTCCCATTGCTGCCTGCAGCCCGGCCGCGCAGGAAACTGTCAACCGCTGGGGCAAAGAGCGACCCCTGGCGGAGACGTGTCCGTGACGTCACATCGCAGCGCCGCCGGAAGGGCCGGTGCTGCGAGGGTCTCATACAGGAAGTGCTGTTGGGGGAATCGCCCGAAGGGGCGTCTTGTCGTAGCCTCCTGCGGGGAGGGCCTCGTGTTGGCTGGGCTCTGTGCCACATGGACTCGTGCTGGGGGGAAGGGCCGGAAGCCTTGGTTCTGGAAGGGGCTTGTGGTGGGCGGGCTCGGAGCCAGAACGGCTCGTGCTGGGAGGGCGCCATGCCGGAAGGGCCTCGTGTTGAGAGGGCCTCATGCCGGAAGTCCCTCCTGCGGGGGCGGGCCTTATGCCGGAAGGGCTTCGTGTGTGTGGGGGGCTTCATGCGGGGAAGGGCCTCGTGTTGGGGGCCCCACCCCCACCGTCCTCGTGCAGGAAGTCCCTCCTGCGGGGGCGAGCCTTACGCCGGAAGGGCTTCGTGTGTGTGTGGGGCCTTGTGCCGGAAGGGCCTCGTGTTGGGGCCCCACCCCCACGGTCCTCGTGCAGGAAGTCCCTCCTGCGGGGGCGGGCCTTACGCCGGAAGGGCTTCGTGTGTGGGGGGGGCTCGTGCCGGAAGGGCCTCGTGTTGGGGGCCCCACCCCCACCATCCTCGTGCAGGAAGTCCCTCGTGCCCACGGTCCTCGTGCAGGAAGTCCCTCCTGCGGGGGCGAGCCTTACGCCGGAAGGGCTTCGTGTGTGTGTGTGTGGGGGGGGGCCTCGTGCCGGAAGGGCCTCGTGTTGGGGGCCCCACCCCCACTGTCCTCGTGCAGGAAGTCCCTCCTGCGGGGGCGGGCCTTACACCGGAAGGGCTTCGTGTGTGTGGGTGGGGGGGCTCGTGCCGGAAGGGCCTCGTGTTGGGGGCCCCACCCCCACTGTCCTCGTGCAGGAAGTCCCTCCTGCGGGGGCGAGCCTTACGCCGGAAGGGCTTCGTGTGTGGGGGGGGCCTCGTGCCGGAAGGGCCTCGTGTTGGGGGCCCCACCCCCACCGTCCTCGTGCAGGAAGGGCCTCGTGAGCGGGAGGGCCTGAGCCAGAGTCCTCGTGCTGGAATTTTGCGGTGATCTGCGTTTTCCAGCCGTTGCTGAGCGGCCACAGGACGCTGGGGGGGCGGCTCCGGTTGGCTGTTTGTCTGCAGCAGTCGGCTGTTTGTCTGCAGCGGAGTTGACGCAGTTGAGGGTCTGGGCACCTCTGCGTGGAGGAGGTCGCAGAAGATGGTGTGTTTATTATGCTTGCCGTGGGTATTTTTCCCTTTTTTTATACACTGTTTACTACATTAACAATGGTAGCGAAAATGTTCTGAAATAATAGCTTCTTTTTAAAAGTTTGTTAAATATCATGCAGTTTATTTTCCGAGTAATTAAAGCAGTTTAAGTGCTGTTTGGTTTAAAAATGTTTACTTGTTAAAGCCTTTGCTTACGTTAGGGGTTAGGCCGGAAATAACTAGCGTTTAAGGATGATTTCAGATCATTCTAATGTGTTGTAGATCACGACCAAAATAAAAAACAACCCCAAAAAACAGCAGAACCCCTCAAATGTCACCGTTGGTCTAATAATTAAGCCATTACTTAGACGCCCCTCGAGTGTCCAGGGCGCAGCGGTCACGGCGTCACGTGACGTCTGAGTCTGTTACAACGGCGCTGTCATGTGACTGAGAGATTTCAGCCTAAAATCCCCGCTGCCCCGTGTTAATGTGCCCAAGTTCATGTTTAGTGCTGCGTAAAACTCACTTTGATGAACATAGTTTTTCCATTTGTTTATGGGGCTTGGATTTTTTTTTTTTTTTTCATTTTTGCTGTTGTCAAAAACCAACATTATGGACGTGCCTGCAACTGTTTGAGTTATGGCTCTGCTTTCTTTGGCGTGCATTCCCAGTCGTGGAGTTGCGGAGTTAAAGGGTATTTCTGTTCCCAGCTATTTGAGAAAATGCCAGACCCCCTTCCACAGCCGCTGTGCCGATTTACATTCCCACGAGCCAGTCTTCCAGTTTCTCCACGTCGTCTTTGCCAGCATCTTGTTGAACTTTGACGTAGTTGCTGGCATGAGATGCGCCCTTTTTTAGATGTGGATGCTTTTGGAACTTTGCTGTTCAATGCCTCAAACCTGTTCTCCAAATGATTCTTAAATTCAGGTGGGATAGACAAAGTCATTTATGGTGGTTCCCGTATACTGGATTTCTTTGGGTTCAACTTGAGTTTGAACTTTTACATGAGTAATTGATGGTCTTTTTCATACTCAGCACAGTTTTGTTTCGAAAGGTAGTGTTGCAAGTCTACAACAGGTGGGGACTCTCTTAGATGTATTATAATATTTTATCAGTTAATTCCGTATTTGATATTTTATCATATGTCATGTTATATAATTGTCTGAAGAGTATATTTAAATTTCTTTTTAAGTTGTCATTACATTTCTGTAAGTAAGCCATTGATTGCATCAAATGGTGCTGTTTTGAGAACATCTGGTGTGTAGGTGAGGCTCAGGAACTCACCTGTGACTTGTTCATAGGGCACTGTCTTTTCCATCTTCTCCTGTCCAGGTTGAATTTTTGCTCCTGTATCATTTTTTGTGGGGCTGGCACGGCAGGGAGACTAGACTAAAAGTCTAAGGTCAAGAGTGATCTCAGAATGGGTGATCAGGTGCTCAGCTTACTCACTGGCATTTACAGTGGGTCACAGGGTGATTAGCAGGTGAACTCTCTGAATTTGGAGGTCCAGGAGAAAACTTGAGAGAACCTAAGGGAAGCCTTGGTCTGCAGTAGAGCCTTTCAGAATCACTCTTGTTTCATGGGGCCAATGCGCCATCCACTTTGGCTTTGTACTGTTGGGTATGTTTATCTCTAAGAGCTGGACAGGGCTGCCTTTGTATTCTTTGATGTGTGAGTATAACTGTGTGTGTGTGTGTGTGTGTGTGTGCGCGCGCGCGCGCTGAATGTGATAAGAACTATTTCTCAGGCTCAGTTGTTTGGGGTTGTTTTTTTTTTAATTGTGTATATTGTTAAATTAGATCTGACTTGTACAGGAGGAGATGCTTCAAATCTTGCGCATTTGAACCATGTACCTCTGAAATAGCAGCGCAACTTCTTGCCACTAGGCCACCAGAGCTCCCTCAGGCTCAGTTTTTTAAAAGTGGATCTCTGCGTGTTAAGTAGGAACTGGAGGTCATACCCCTAAATTAGGGAATCCAGGCTCTGGGCTGTAGAAGTCTTAGAAAAGGTGACATATGCGTGGCTAGTATCAGAATGACGATGTGGGAGATTGCGGATTCATATATTGGAAATCAGGTGTATGTTGGTTATTACTCCCATCTTCCTGTGGGCATTGTCCTATGATGTGCAAACTTCGAGGGGGTCTTCTGCAAGAGACAATGGAAATGCTAACACCGGATACTAAGAGAAAGGACCCTGTTAGTGATTCAAATCTACTTTATGCGATAAAGAGGGGCACTCTCTTCCTGTGCATTTTATAGCTTCTTCAAAATGTACTGTAGTGTTAGCTATCCATTCAGACAACAGAGATGAAGAAGAGTCACGTGAACAGAGCAGTATCTTCTATAATTGATTTTACTCCTGAATTAACAGGTTCTGGTCCAGAAATCAAGTTCATACAAGAAGCTGAAAGACTTGGACTTGAGAGGTTAGGTTGCTGGTAACGGACGGACCTGAGATACCTGAGCACAGCCTCTACAGTGGCCCAGAGAAGTCAGAAAGCAGAACACATCAGCCTTTGAGAACAAGATGATGACCCAAGCCCAGGTGAGGTTGTGTGACTAGTTTACCTTGGTTCCTAGTGTATCTTTGAAGGCTGATTAGTTTGAATGACAGGTGACCAACAAGCACATGAAGAAATGGCCATTAGTTGCTGCTGCTGTTGTGTGTCTCCAAGTCTAGTGTGACTCACAGTGATTCCATGAACAACAGTTTTGAACTTGGCCATGTCTTGTGCAGTTCTTGCCATCGTCAGTGTACATTGCTTCAGTCACTGTCAGTCCCTCTTTTTTTTTTTTCCTTCTGTTCCTTCACCTTTTCCAGCATGATGACATTTTTCAAGTACCTGCCCCTCCTGACAACACGCACAGAGTATTTGAGAGAAACTTTCTCCATCTTTTCCTCTAAGGAGCACTCTGGCTACATTTTCTCCAAGATATATTTCTGTCTGTTCTTTTGTCACACCACGGCATAGTAATTTCTCCAGCAGCAAAACTTAAAGGCATGGATTCGTCTCAGAGCTTTATTAATTGTCCATGTCTCACATACACAGCAGGTGACCCAAAGGCTTGATACCAGGAGCAGCTTAGTCTTTAAACTGATTATGTTGTTTCTTGTGACTTTGGAGAGAAACGACTCTGAGATGTCATCTCACCCTCTCAACAGTGACAAGAAGCAGCAAAAGGTGTAGAGCGAGTGGGACTCTGTTAAATTATTAGTGGGAATGTCAAATGTTATAACCCCTTTGGAAAGGAGTTTGGTGGTTTTTTAAAAGGTTGAAAGTGGAAATACCATTTGATCAATAAATCTTCGTATCAGTTATCTATTCTTAAAGAATAAGAGCTGTAACGTCTATTCATGTTACAATAGAGAGATGGAAACAATGCAGGGGTCCATCCGTGAATAGAAGATTCTGCCAATTATGATACATTTTACACAGTGGAGTACTATACAACACTAAAGAATGAAAGTCAAGAGACGCATGGATGAATGTGCTTTGTGACCTAAGTTAGTCAAAGAGAACAAATCCTATGTATGACCGCAGTTTCATAAGAACTTTCTGTTAATTTGCACGGGGCACAGCTTACCTGTGGAGCCTTGTTCTTAGTATGTGGTCTCCTAATGGAAAAGCTGGTGCTTCAAAGTGCTGGAGAAAGTTTGTCCCAGGAGAAAGAGTGGCAGCCAGGTTTGAGAACAAGCACACCCTTCCCAATCTGGGGGTGGCTCCTGCTCTGCCAGTGCAGTACATCTCCTGCCAGCTGATACCAAGGATGCTGATTGTACATTCAAGTCAGAAGTTACTGTTGAAAGTTTCTTGTCTCCACTTATGATGCTGCTTATTGTTCATGTGATGAGAATTTTGGTTTTCTCGACAGTGAGATGCAATCTACAGCCAAGGTTTGGTCTTCTGCAGTAGATGCTTCAACTCCTCATTTTCAGCAAGCAAAGTTGTATCATCTGTATTACAAAGGTTACTGATGATGTCTTTTTCCGATGCCACCTTTTTTCTTCAGAGTCTGACTTCTCGATTAATTTACTTAGCATATGGA